TAACGTTTTGCTTAGTTAACCGCCTAGCTCTGAACCTTCTAGATTAGCATTTTGGCAGTTTCGAACAACTAAAACGTATCGACAATTATGTCTCGCTTGCCAAGTATTCCAAATCAATTGACAGAAGACATTATCATAATTTATGCAGCTGCATTCATCTCCAGTTACAAGGCTTAAAAGCTGGAACGGAAATTAAAAAGACGAAAGACAAAACTCTTGTTTTGACAGGCAAGGACCCGCAGTTGAAATAGCTTTGGCAGATATGGGTTGAGTCTGTCATGTTTTGATGATGAAATGGGAATTATTTGAAAGTTGCTGAAGATTGTCCATTGAAATCAACTTTTGTTGAGAATCAAGTCTTCATTTACTTTCATTAATACTGAACTTTCTTCGTTAAGACGATAATGGTTTTGATGATTTGGTTCTTCAGAATAGGCAGGACTGTTTCATGCGTTATATTTTGTCTCTTTATCATTATTATTAACTGAATTTCACTGCCGATCTCAACTTTAGCTTTATCATCACAATAAGTGACGATTACCCCTAAAACTAAAAAAAATTCAGATATGTCCTTTCCTTGTGCTAATAAATCATAAAATCACTGAACAAAGTGTGCAAATTCAAACGAAAAATTATTTTTAAACTGAAAAAGAATTGTCTTTTTTTTGGGAAATTGACACAAACACAAGTTGAATAATTGATGAGTTCACACTAAACCACACACAGTTTAATTTGTTTTCGTATCGTACTGAGGTATTGCAATTTTCTGCTGGCATCTGGGAATCAATTCAAAAACTGAGGTGAAAAAAACAATTCAGCGTCGACAAACCTGTCCTCGCTGGCTTGGAAGTGAAAACATTGTTGTGACGAACGCGAAAGTGGAGCTGAACCAGATAACACAGGTTCGACCTCTAGTAATTTTTATGCAAAGTGACATAGCAGGTAAGTTTTTCTCAGTTGCTTTTATTTATCATTCTATGGTCCATAGATTAAAATTTCCCAGCAGGATAAGAGAAGTTGCAATACCCCCAAAAATTGTAAAATTGAGAAAACGTCTGCTGATAAAGTGCAGCATTATTCCAAGTTGTTTTACAAATTTAGGTACCTAGTACAAAATTATTTATAAAATTGACATAGGAGGAGTCTTTGAAGGTTAGAACCAGTCTTATTTCGATAATTTTATTCTTACTTTACCATTATTGTTATACATACTTTAAAGGTGAAATCGACATGAAGGAAAATTTTAAAAAATTAAGAAAATTTACTCGGCATCGATTGTAAGTTGAATTATTTCACCCTTCGGTGATACGTCGAGGACGGATAAGCTCTTCATGTAGCAATAATGCTCGTTTCTCTTTTCCCATCAGTATCTTATTTCCACGTATATTGTGGAGATTTTTCAGCTTTGAAAACTGCCATAGCGGTCGATCAGTTAGACTGTATAGTCTTCTAAGATTAAAACCAACTTCCTTTAAACAGTCGTGCTATAATTATTTACTTACACAGGTGAATAATTAGAGACCAGAAATTTTGTCGATCGACGCAAATCTGCAAAGGTACACTTTAATGGTTAATTTTTTGAGAAAGCAAGCTTTTTTCGGAGAGATTACGGTTGGAGACGCAGCGTTTCAGCAGAGTAAGCAGGGTGGATTAGAGATATCTGAAATACCTAGCCGGCGTCATTGTGTCTTGTTCTTGGACGAGACGCCAAATTCTCCCTTGCTGGCACCGTTTTTATAAACGAGTATTATGCCTACTGGAAATAATTCCAGGAATCTTCCCTGAAAGAATATCTACATTCTCGAAGTTGCTTTCGCGTACTTCGGTCAAAATGCTTCGTACTACGTCCAGTTTGGGATCACTTCTTTCGAAAGAGTTTACTGGGATCAGAGTCACATCTTCTATAGTTTCATCAAACACGTGTTCTCTTGGTTACGCTTAACCACGTGTTGTTGAAAAAGATAAATGTATTTTCAGATCTTAAATTTTTTTGTTAACTCAAAGGAAATTTATACCAACTTCAAGTAACGGACCGGTTTTGTAGTGATCTTTTGAGGATTCACTTAACCAGATGTTTGTTTAGGCTGAAAAATAATGTTTTGCATTTTACAATTTCTTTTCGTTCATCGTGTAAGATAACTTGTTTTCGGTCGCCATTTTGACTACCGTTCCATACAGACGGTTAACGTTTATAGTAGGCAAGAAGTCTTTTTTCTCGACAAGATACGACTACCGCGAAAAGAACAAAGATAACTGTGAATACAAATGTTAATTGCTGTCACCAGGAGATGGGGAAATTTAACACGTTTCGGCGCAATCCAATTTGCAGACATGTGACAATGAGGTTGAAGTCTGATTGAATTTTAAAAGAAGGAAATATGAGAAGACGATACTCACCGAATCATGCTAAATATTATCAGCTGCCGAAAGGTTAATTCTTTAACTCGCAAGATCCAATGATTAATTCTCCCCGCTTACTATCATACTTTTCTGCGTAAATTGGATAGGAGAATTTGGTCTTATTCCCACATAAAAGCCTCTAGCTGATGAGCTTGCCTGTTCTCATAACGTGTCTACGAGATAGAGTATTGGAATTGCAAGGAGAAATGATATGTTAATCACTTCATGGGGTTAAAGGATTAGAAGCAAACCTAAGTTGCGTAAGTTTTCGCGGTAAAGCTGGCTCAACGTCTTTTCGATAACTGCATTTATTACACAGTTTCCGTTTGTGACCCAAAGAGAATTTACGGTACTGACGCACCTTGATTCTATATCCGCATTTGAATTGCCCTAAATACACTTCTACTTCTTGCGGTGCTTGGCTCGAATTCGCGTTAAGTACTGGTTCTTGTTTCTCTGTCGGGCGGCACGATAAAGTAAGTGTTTTATCCGGTTACCTTGACACTTGGGTAACAACGTTGGAACAGTTGTCACTTCTTTTTGGGGTTGGGGGAGGAGGAGGAGGTTTTCAGACGCGTATTCGAGGCTTTTAGTCATAGAAAATGAGCTGTGAAGCTTGCAAACGACAAACGACTTCTGTTCCTTTTCTTTTCATGACCTCCACCGTGTTTCGTGTCCATCATTTTGCTCGTTTCCTCTAATTGAGGGCCTAGCACAGGCCGCCAGACGAGTGGAGACAAGCGAGGGGCAAATGTTAAGCACTGAACACGGAAACAAAGACATTGACAACGGCAATATCTTTATTTTTGCGCTTCCTTCCCGTGTGCTTTCCTAGATCCGACAGATGCAAACACTGCACCCGTGCTAACTTGTTGCGAATCTACGAATTGAGGGCGCTTTGCTTTTATCAGGCTTAATTAAATGTCGATAAATTGAGTAAACGGTTTTCTCTTCACAGACCCGCGCCCGTAATTTGCTCTATTTCGCGTCTATTCAGCTCCAGAAAAAAATTGACCCAGTTTCGTTTGTCAGAAGAAACCCGTTTCCCTTACAGAAAGGGCGGTCCGATCATTTAATTGTGACCATTTGTTACAATGACAACCACCGAGGCAGAAAATATGTATAATCAGAAGAATTCGTGAAGCGAACGTAGCGTTAAGACGGTAAAGAAATCAAGAAAGAAAGAGTTACTCGGCAAGCGGATCATTGGCCATGCGCGAGTCGAACTTGAGAGAACGCAAAATGACGACGAATGCAAAATGAATACAAGAAAAAGAAACATTGATGAACTAAGAATGGTGGTGCGCGCAAGTACAGATACATTCAAGTTTGGCTAGGTGAAGAAAACTTAACTTGATACTCTTTACTAAAACACATTCTGCTTTTGAGTGGCGATAATACTACAAAAGCAAAGAGATGTTATTTAAATAAACTTATCGCCGTTAACCACCGTGTTCTAGACCATATCCCGATTTAGCCAGACTTTTATCACATAAAAACGTTGACTTTTACGAAGCGTTTAGCAGAGGCTTGAAACTCATATAGGAAAAACACTTATTTCCTTCAAACAAACCACTTACAAAGATATATCGAGGTCCATTGACTGTCTCAGACTTCGGCTCCAGTAAGTCTTCGTGTTGATGAACGGCCTAATGATTTCTATCTAGAAGAGGCGCCCTTGCAACTAGGTCAGCGAGGTTTTTGCATGAACGCGAGTCCAGTGAAAAGAGATCAACTACTGACCAGAAGTACAATTTATTCAGGATCGTTAAGGCAGCTGCAAAACATTAAAAACGAGAAACTTGTTCTCGATAACAAAAGAAGGTAGCAGAGAGAACTAGAGAGAGACGGCAAACTCGCGCGTTTGGAAATTTCTAAAGTTAAAAATCTCCCCTAGTTGTTTGCGTGCGTATGAACGAGTTTACAAGAGTAAATTATACGTCAAGAAGTGGCCCTAATAACTAATGCTTCTAAAAAGTCAAATGCGTGGAGTGACTCTGCAAAACAAACGAGTGAGATTAAATCGCTTCTTTAATATCATCAATTCTTTTTGCGGTATGTTTTGATTAGTTTCATTTTATTTCTAGAAATTAAAGGATAGCAGCAGAGAGATGATGAAATATTTCTACTGGGCTCACAATGACATTTTGACTTTTGTTGAATAAAGAAGCTATCATGAATAGCAGTCTTCATTAACGTCAAGTAACAAGCCATCTTAGTAAACACTTAAACAAATTAATGCAACGTTTTAGAGTTTTCAGTTTCTATTTTATGAGTCTCCGGACATACTTTACATTATCAAATGTCATGCGGAAAAATTTTCTAAATATTCTTCGATTGCGATGCTATCTTTGGTTGCATTTATCTCTCTCTTTTCAGGAAGAAGTTTCATTAGTCCTCATTACCGGTGTTTTATGATGAATTCTGCGTATGTGGCCAGTTAATGAAAAAATCAAACTGCACCTGTCCTTCCGATTATGGACTCGGATTCAAATAGTTAATTGCTCGCTTCGAATATCTCGCTCATGATCTTATTCAAATTCAGTTCCCTTGCTAAGAAGACTACAAGCAGTAATACAGTTGCTTCTGTACTTTTCTTCGCAGATTGATCGAGAGAAGACTATATTTCACTACTTTGAACTATGCGCGCGGATTGAATCCGAAGGAAGTCCTGCCAAGATCAAAGATGACTTTCTGGTTATACTTTCAATTATTCCCGTATTTGTTCGCATTAAAAACAAGTCAAGGTTTGGAAAGTAACCACAGACAAGTTCTGACCATTGGAGGGTTCTACGCTTCAGGAAAAATGACCACTTTTCAGAACGCGTCGGGAATCATCCAGACCGTAAATGAAGCAGTTCGAACCATAAACGAGCGTTCGCAGCTTCTTCCCGGCTATAAATTGGAGATCGAATGGAGGGATACCAAGGTCTGTAGAAAATATGTCTGTATTCAGAATATCAATTCCAATTAAACTAGCTTCTAAAACGATTTCAATCTTCTCGCTAACAGAAATATATAGCAACAGATATTCTGTTATGATAGAACACGGTTTAATAATCAACAGTCGTAAATTGACACGTAATAAGGACGAAAACGACAGTGTTTGATTATGTAGACTTCAAAGTCGATTGAAACACACTTAAATTCTATACCTTAATTAGCCGGGGTAGTTTGATGATTTTTCATAACAGCAGTCTCTCTTTATTTTCGTTGTTATAATCACACTCGACATGACATGTTTTCATATACACATTTATTTCGTTTAATTTTCTGTTTGGTCGACTTCGTTCTTCTCTTGTTCACACCTTTGTATATGCCCGTATAAAATCTTTACTTGAGCTCTGTGAAAATTGCATGCATTATGAATACCACTTAGAGACACAGTGTTCCGTTATACTGGCAACAAACTGAAAGTGCGCTGCGACAGAACACAAACGATTACTTTCTAAAGTTTCCGAGAAGGTTGTTCGTCACGTGTTATTATCAATCTCGGATAATAGGGAGGAAAAACAGAAAGACGGCGAGATAGAGAGATAAGTAGGAGAAAATAGCCGGAAATCCGCCATTAACCATTCCAGACACCGATGCAAATTTTTCGTAAATTAAAGGTGCTCTTGATTTCCAAGAAATGTTATGGGCGTAACGATACTCGTCCAATAACCATTGTTTTTATTCTGCATAGCCTTGTTTTTTCCCTTAAGGATTAATTTTAAACTGATAACGCACAACATTCGCTAAAAGTTGACTCGTCAGAGTTTTTTCTTTTCCAAGGCGAAGATGTCTTCTTCGCCCTAAATTAAATAACTCAAGACGTGAACTAAATTTTAAAGATTGGGCCAATAACGCTCCTAAAGTGGATAATCAATAACGCCGGACCCACGTCTTAGCGATAAAGGAAAAATTTTAAAACAGCCTTCGAAATCGCTCTCAAAGGGGGTAAATTTTAAAACGCCGGCTTAGAGTTTTCGACTAGAAACCATTTGAAAAGCGGGCTTCTCATGAACGCTGACGTCACCGCTTTTTGCATCTTTGTGTCCCGTGATAATGCGCATGCCCAAGGGTGCTGAAAATGTCTTACTAGTTTTTTTTCAGTAGGGGGGGGAAACTTTTTTTTTTGTTTTGTTTTTTTTTCAGAGTGGAAACGCTTTTTCAAATTTATCTTTCAAGTTGTGAACAGAGTCTTCGTTTGCTTCTGAGCTTCGTTGCATTACAATTTTTAATCATGAGACGTTTGTACCCAGTCTGTCTGTAGCGAGCCTTTTAGGTATCTCGTTTTGTATTTCTCAGCGAGTTTTTCTGTGATTCGTCCTCGACAATATTTCACTTGTCATTTATTTTGTTCGCTTTTCAGTGTCAGCTGGGTCATGGAGTCCAGGCTCTGTTTCAAAGTGTTAACGAGTCTCCTACGAAGATAATGCTCCTTGGAGGAATGTGTAGTGCTGCAACTGGACCAATTGCCGAATGCTCTCACCTTTTAAACCTGATACAGGTGATTTAATTGTATCAAGAGGGTTCGAAAGCAGTCAATCTCAAGTAACATTTTTCCATGGGCAGTAATTGAAGTTGGCTTGACGATAATAACTGAACGAGTTGATTATGGGCGATTAGGCCGCGAAATTATTAGCCATGATGTGTGCGCAAAAAAAAAACGAAAAAACATTCGAAATGGTCGCATGTGCTCAATCTATTTGCGAGGGGAGAGCACAGTGTATGACCCGAGATGAGCTCATGCGCTGCGCACCCGAGGTAAGCGCACAAGTTGAGTGTTCTAGCTATATTTGTCTCATATAACTCGACACTTTGTTCATGTTTGCTGTGTCTCTCATATGGCGCACCAGGCCACATTTTCTTATATGCTGCTGCCTGTACAAAATGGTTCAAAGATTTCTCTGTAGATGAAGACTAATGACGTTCGTCTTCTGCAGGTCGGCTATGGGGCGTCGTCTATTTATTTGTCTAACAAGCAAAAGTACCCACTTTTCTTCAGAACGGTTCCCCCAGAGAAGGGGCATAATTCTGGGCGCGTGGCTGTACTTAAGTATTTCAAATGGATGAGAATTGCTATATTAACAGAGAGAGAGCCTTATTATGAAGCTGTAAGTAAAAACAGTTTTCCTTTCGGTGGTGTGACGTACTGAGTTTGCCATGAATTAATGTGTTGTAACGTGTCATTACCATAAAAACATTTAATTTTTTTTTACTGTTTAAAAGGCTTTGGCAAGTCTGACAAAGCTGCTTGAGAAAAACGATATGTCAGTAGTGGCTCAAGAATTTCTTGGAGATGGAATGGAAGAAGACCGCAAATCTCTAATCAAGTTATTGAAGGTGTGTCTGTTTGAAAGGGTTGGAGCGGGAACCCACCAGAGACAATTGAATGCAGGGGACCACAAAAACACAAAACCAAACTCAGTTGTTCTCTGTTCTTGGATCTCATTGAATAGAGATATCACGGGCGAGGCTTAGGAAACCCCTGGGGTATCCGTGGTCCTCCTACCTTTTTTCGTTTTAAGTTAATAACGTACACACCATATAATTCAGGTTTGCGGATCTCATTGTGTTGAGATACCAGGGGCGTTGCTAGAGAAACCCTTGGGGTATCCATGATCCCCTCACCTTTGTGAGATTTGCTTAGGGTGTCCTTCGGGTGTCCTTCGGGAAAAAAATTCGTACGCACGCAAGTTTCTCTAAAATCTTAGCAAACTATATATCAGCAGAAAGCTTAATAAATGCAGTTTACGACAAAAATATAATTCAAGCGACCTTTCTTTTAAGGAAGTGTCAGGAGCCGGTAAAGTATGAAACGACCGAAAGTTCTTCTATTGAATTTATCGGGTATCCGATGCTGCAGCACGAGTAAAATGGCTGCACAATCTTATTCACAAGGGATCAATCAACGTAAGGTGTCAGGCTTTTTCGATGTTCTGATTGGTTGTCTAAATATCGTCATTTAAAGTTGGAGTAAAAATATGCGAGGCGTGTTGCGTAAATTGACTCCACGGGACGAATTTTTCAAATATCAAAATTTCCCGACAAACTTTCGTTTGTCATCATTCAGAGGATGTTTAGGCAAAATTTGACGAAAATCGGTCAAATCAATATACCATAAAAACTCGTTCAAAGTGGTTGTATTCCCGCGAATATCAAATGCGAGATTTTAGCTCATAAAGGTTCGCAAACAACTCGCGTTACGCCAGGAGATTATCTCGCCTCCTAAAACCGCAAACCAATAGGACAATGGGACCTCCTGGACTCAATGACGATGGATCAAGATTTCCCGCTAAAAGTAACCCACTGCAGAGATGTTTTTGTTTTTTCTCATCTCGAACGCTCAGCGGAGCGTTGAGGAGGAAGACACAATAATGAGCAAAGTTTCAAAGGGAAAGGAAAGACCCGCGCCAAAAATGGAAAAACCGCAAAACGTGCTGAGGAGCAAGACAACGAATCGTCATATAGCTTTCAAAATTAAAATTCAAGGCAATTGTTAATGTTTTTGTATCAAGGCTGGTGCTTGCATAAAGAAAATGAACTCTTGTTTTTAACATCATGTATGGCAAATTTTGGTTTGACGGCGATTTTTTCTGTTTGAAATCTGGACGCCAGCGTAGAGCTCCGCTAGCTTGTACCAGTCACTCTCACATAGGATTTTTTTTCTTTTCTTGACAAAATGGTACTCTTTCTTTCTTCTTTGGGCCTGCTTTTTCTTTTTTTTTTTTTTTTTTTTTTACAAGGACTTTCTTCCGCTTTTGATTTTTCTAAGGACGGAAAAGAACTTCCACGAGTGAATTTTGTAAATTTCGCGACGTAACCAAAATATGGCAATAACATGAAAACCGAGCCTCAACATGAGCAGTTGCCGCGAAAATTCCCCCAGAGGATTCGCCTAGGTCCGAGATTATGACACCTTCCTGATTTCTAAACTTTCATTTGAAATACGTTTTTCTAAGTAACTTGGGTGCTTTTCAATATTTCAGAAATTTTTTTAATAGAAACGTTAGGTTGAGTGTGTTTGAAATCAGTTTTGTCAAATAAAAAAAAAATGCCGTGCAGAAATTTTACCGAAAAATTCGATTTTTTTACCTCTGAAGGTGGCAAGTACAAACCTAATAGTTCAGGTTTGCGAAAATATGCGAATCCAATGAATATTCAAGGTAGAGGTTTTCTGAGTACTAGATTCTAAATTTTTTAGAATGCACTTGCCGCGTGAAAAGCAGCCCGCGGTTGCGTAAAGTAAGTAACGAAATATCTATACTTTGTGTACACACCGTATTACATACGCAGTACACTCACCAAGAAGATCACGCTCGAGATACAAAGAATATTATCTTGTCTGATTTCGCATTTTCTCTCGCTCTTTACACAGGCGAGAGATGCTCGAATTATTGTTGGACTTTTCTCTGAAGAAAAAGCTGTCGAAGTCTTCTGTCAGGTAACTGTGGGGGAATGGTATTTTCGGTTTTGCGGTTTTGGCTATTTTTCAGGTCGGTTTTTTCGGTCTTTGTGCCAGAAAACTGCGGTTTTTAGTTTTTGTAGGGTGGTCACTGTGGTTTGCGGATTTTCCGCTTTAAAGCATTTGGTGTTCGGCATATGTAAAAAAAAACGGGCTTTCGAATTTGGGATTTGCATGCGGTTTTCGGTTTGGATCCAATTTTTTTGCGGTTTTGAATGATTTTGTCTACGGTTTTGCGGTTTCTTATAGACCCCAATGCCCCCCCCTCGGTAACTGGCCCCATATTTTAGAGCTGCAATTCTTGTTTGAAATGCCCCCCTCTCGGTAACTGGCCCATATTTTAGAACTGCAATTCTTGTTTCGAACTGGAGAATCTATTGATAAGTATGGCAATGTACCAGGCTCATAACACAGGTCTGTGGTTTAACCTGTTTTACTTGTCTCCCGCTCTCCATCACGAGAAAGGAATTAACCATGTTTCGCTTTCTGTCTTTCTACCTCGATTGCCTCAGGCGTACAAGCAAGAGCTTTATGGCGAGAGGTATGTCTGGATGTTGATAGGATGGTATCAGTCGCGTTGGTGGAACGCACATCCAGCAGTCCTGTCCAAACAAAATTGCGAGGCTAAGCACGTGATGAAGGCTTTTGGTAATTACGTCACAACGGAGTTTCTGAAATTTGGACCCAGTTCCCCACGCATGATAGGAGGCGAGGTATGGTGCAATGTTGATCAAAAGACAAGACAGATCTCGCGGCTTTGGGGCTTAGGCCTTTGAATAAGGCATTTAAGTAACAGGCTTTCTTTCCATTGTAGGACAAGAACTGATCTAAGATAGAGTAAGGACTAGGAAGGAATCACATGACAGTCAAAAGAGCTTAAGAAAAAAAGGGTGCGAATGACCGAATTCTGAGGATATGGGTTACCAACGAATGCGGACTATTGTTTGCAGTATTTTTTTTTCTGATAACTATTATTTGAATTTTTATTTCAGGGTGCGTACCATGCATGGAAAATTAAATTTGACGAGCTTGGTCTATATTCTGGTTTTGCGCACGACGCCTTGGTTGCTATGGTTTTGGCTCTAAACCGTTCAGCCGAGGTTCTCGCAGCGAAAAATAAAAGCTTGGCAGATTTTACTTACAGTAACTCGGAAATGGCAGGACTGTTTAAGAAGTCTTTATCCAAAGTCTCATTTCGTGGATTTTCGGTGAGAGAACCTACTTTGCGTCACTCTAAGATCTCATTGGTTCCTTGAGATGTTAGGCTTTCCTTTGATTGGACGTCATAATTGACGAGGTGTTGACTTTATAACAACCAACCGGAAAGCGTTCTAATGAGTGTTTTGTTGGTAGGGACAAGTATACTTTAACGATAAAGGAGAAAGGGAAGGAATTATAACAGTCGGTCAAATGCAAGGTAAGAACTTAACCCTTTAACTCCCAGATCAAATTTGTAATTCTTCTTACTATTAACCATACTATTCTATGATGTTAGTTCAGAGAATTTAGTATTGAATCAACTAATCATCGCCAAATTGATCTTTTCTTTATTCTCATCACTTATCTGGTTGATATTGTATTGATATTGTAAGGAGAAATTCTGTCTTGGTCACTAATGGGAATTAAAGGGTTAATTTGGTTGGCATCATTACTCAGATATGAATAGCGCTGAAAATAGTCCATCTTCAACTATGCAACTAGAGCAGTTTTCAATTGACTAGCGCAAGTGATTCTGGATTGCTTTGGTTTTGCTTTAACTCTGTTCTGTGATTGGTCTAGAAAAATGGCACCGTTTGCTCAACCAATCAAATGCAAAACCAAAACCAATTCCAACTCGGTCACTCGCGTTTTCCCGCGCTTCAGCTGGCTGGCTGTTTTTACCATGAGTTCCCCTTGGCTAACGATGATGTTAGCCTTTGATCTAATCGGTATTTGTGATTACTTTGGATTTGGTTTTCCATCACTCAATCGAAAATTGCTTAATCATTGTTGTTGTTGTTGTTTCTGTTCTTACTGCATCGTAAGCGTGGATTAATTTTTTTAGTTTTGTTATGCTTAATAATGTTAATTACATTTAAAATGCTACGTTTTTCTATGAATGATGCAGACAATGGAATAGTTTCTGTATTTCGCTGTTGTTGTTATTGTTTACATTCAGATCAAGAGATAAAAATGCTTGGTAACTACACGGTTTCAGACGAAAGGCTGGTCATCGAGTCGTCGAAGTTCGTTTGGAAAGGTAAGTTGAGAGTAAGAAGCTAGTGCAGCTGGTTTGTAAATTGTTGAAACTCTCTTCTAGATCAACAAATATTATCATATGACCCGTCTGGCCCCGCGCGCCCATGTCGTAGAAAACCAAAGTAAAAGCTGACTTGTGCAGGGCCGAACGGGTTGACGTGAGCCAGTCCAGAAAAAAGCCGTCTGACCCTGCTACACTCACGCTGCTTTGTTGCAAAAATTCAAAGGAGAACAGAAATGAGACTAAAAAGTCACGTCTTTCAATGAATTGGGAGTTTCTCGTTCTGACTCCGAAAAAAAGGAAAAGTTTTGATTTCAGAATTTTTTTTGTGCTCGTGTGGCTGCGTGTGCCCATCTATCTCGTCCTATTTAGGTTGAAATTTTCATCACTCTGTGGTCATATGATAAAATGCTCATTAATTGAGTTAGGTCGGGCCGGACGGGAAAATATTTGGTTCTCGGTCGCGAAGTAAAGACCTCGCTGCAGTCGGTCCGTACGTCATGATCTCAACCCAAATACTTTCCCTTCTGGCCCTACTACTCAGTCAATAAGTACATCTTATTTCTACAAATAAATTTGCGTTTGCTTTACGCAAGAGACTTTTAAGGGATGGATTTTTTTCAACGAATCTAGTTTAGTATAAAAGCAACTGACCTTTTGAACTTTGTTTCGTTTACCCATCACAGGTGGTAGTGTTCCCGCTGACCAAATGACTACGGTGGACAAGCTGCAGACGATTTCGATCGGATCGTTCGGATTTTTTTGTGCGGTTGAGGTCCTGGGGATTATCATTGCTGTGGCTTTCCTGGCGTTCAACATTTCTTACAGTAGTCACAGGTATACTGAATAGGTCCGCACGTGCATATAACGTAAACTGTTAACGAGTCTTGTACCCAGACCTTCCACGGCCAAGCGGTTGTCTTACATCTCACTTAAACGGTAGAATCTGGGTACAAGATTAACTGTTAACTGCATGTGGCAATGTTATTAGCATATATGGCGTAGAGCTATTGTAAACCTATTTACCCAAGGAACTTGACGAGATGATAAATCTACAGAAAAGAGACACAAGGAACACTAAAATATCGAAAGTATGAAATGGATAGTGAACAAACGCATGAATAAATGAAGAAAAGAGGCAGGAATCAACCCAAGAACGATTGTACTTTAAAAACTAATCTCGTACCCAGATCCCTACCGTGCAACTGTAACTGAAATGTATAACCGCTTAGTTGTGAAAGGTCTGGGTACAAGACTATTAACAGACAGACAAATTGACAAACATATCGGTAGATGGAAAAGGAGTGAACGTATAAAAGTAGGTTAAGATGAAGTTTTGGAAAAAAAAGAGGAAGATTTTAATTTAAGGCAAGTGCTGAAATAAGGCAGACCCATATTTCCCTGCATTTTAATCATTTAACAGCTTAACTTACTTATAAGTTTTCCTTACTTACGATACACCATTAATCTTACTACATAAAACATCCGAACAATTTGTCATTGACTTTACTTACCGGGCACGAGCATCGCAAAAACTACGATTTCTTGGCTTTTACATATTGTTAGTTTTTTCTATAATATATGCAATAAAACATGAAAGAATACCTGGTGGAATAGCAATCACTGAAAAAAGCGCGTTAAGACTCAATCAAAGCTGATAAGAGCCTTATTTGGAATTTTAGATTTATCAAGATGTCAAGTCCACGTCTAAATAATGTCATTGTGGTTGGTGCCATTCTTATTTACATCGCTGGTATTCTGTTGGGCATCGATGGCAACTTCGCGAGTATCGACATTGAGGCAATTTTGCAATGCAGAGTAAGTACCTTCAACCACATTTTGTTGTTATGATTAAAACCACGTAGAGGCCCAAGGTTCCCGAATATGTTCCAGGAAATTTGAAGACCTAACACTGGAGACAATTAACGACTACAATTCATCAATCACTGGATTTTTCGGAAGATGCTAACGATTCATAAATTACACCAGACTCGCGGCAATTTGTTTACCGATGCAAAAGATCACAGGTCAGCATGTCTCGGAAAAAACGCGTATTTAAAGGATTTAGATACACTGATTCCCTTCTTGTTGCTGGAAATGGTTTACTAAGACTACAGGACCAAAAGAAATCGCGCAAGAGATAGCTCATTCCCTCAAACGCCTATGAAAAAGTTCTTCCTTTTCTTTCTGTTTACGTTTAGCTTTCGACCTGGGTAGCTTGTCTTGGATTCACACTCGGTTTTGGTGGCATGTTCTTAAAGACTTGGAGAGTGCACAAAATTTTTCTTAATAGAACAAAGAAAATGGTAAGTGTCTTCGAACGAGGTGGTTACCATCCGGTTCAAGCGTTTAGACTGAAAGTAGTCTGTCCCAATAGATGTGTCCTCAGGATATTTTTTTTTATTTTGGTTGCGAAAAAGACAATGGCAAAAGGTAGAGAAATTTCTTGACCTTGCCAGGAGACTAAAGACTTGCCGTGCGCACGGTAGAGTTTGATACATTCCTACAAAAGGAAATTACAAAATCTACCTTTTCCTTGGCCCCTCCATTTTTTTCCTCAATAGATCCAACAGACAACTTCAAAATTCCTGTGACTCTCAACAAGCGGCTTGCACAAATAGCTGTGAGGCAATGCGCGAAATCATTTTGTTGCCATTTGCGCAGAGGGGGTTGTTATTCACCCTTGTGTCACCTTTTGAAGCCAAACCGTCTTCATATTTGTAATAAAAACCTATATTTTATGACCACGGCATATTTTGACCGTAACAATCAAGTAATCAAGAGCGTCTCTTTTACTACCAACAGATCATAACTGACTTCCAGTTGTTCGCAATGCTGGGTCTGTTTCTTTCCATCGATCTCCTAATTCTTATGGTTTGGGAGATTGTTGATCCCTTGTACGCTAGTAAACACTACACAGGACGAGAGGTTTGTAAACAGTTATCATCTTTCACGTACCTATAAGTCACTTCACTTTCTTAAGGACTTTTGACGAAACTACTGTAGTATAACTTATGTCGTAAAAAAAGGTTGGAGTAAACGCTTTACCTTCTGCCGCGATTGGATTTTAAACTTACCAATCGTCGAAGTCTTCTCCAGCTGTCTCAAGGATATTAATTACCTTTATAACTCAGTGTTCCAAGAACTGTGTGGGTGGTAGGCGCGCTAAGGTCCAAATTGAAATGTGCGGGGTTCGAGACACTAGCTGGATCATTGCGATGCGTTCTTAAGTGTGACACTTCACTCCTATAGTGCCTCTCTCTCCACCCAGGAGTCTAAATGGATACTGTAGAACCAGAAACCTGAAAAAATGGAATAGACTCACCGCCCATCCAGGGCGGAGTAGTAATAATCCTAGTCGCTTCTTTTCGTTACAGACGAGGAAAGATTCAGTAAGATGATTCTGCTATATCGTAAGCAGACCTTACCTTTACCTTTCTACATTTCAGGAATACCGCCTATCCACGGACACCAACTACAAGGCTTATTACATCGAGTGCACCTCGAATCACCCGAAAATCTGGCTTGGGGTTATCTATGCCTACAAAGGACTTATGTTGGCGTTCGGTGCCCTGATGGCCTGGGAGACAAGGAATGTCACTTTCCCAGCGTTGAACGACTCCAAACACATCGGTATTTCAGTGTACAACGTGGTATTCCCGTGCGCCCTTGGAATGACAATTGTCAACGTGGTGGATTATAACCCGAATGTGTTTTACGCGGTTCTTTCCGTGTTGGTTGTTTTCTGTACCACCATTACACTGTGTATTGTGTTTGTTCCAAAGGTGATGATGGCTGCAATCTAACTTATTTGATTATCGGTTTTCTTTCTTAGACACCCTGTACGCTTACCTGCACCCGTTTTCAGGAAAATCGTCTCTCTCCCCACTGAAAAAACTTGCCTCCCCGAAAGCAAATTTCCTTTAACGTTGCAAACCAGTGACAGTTTAGAGAACCGCTAGATTTGATTATAGCGTGATTAAATCTCCTTCGTTATTTCGCTCAGCTGCTGCTTTAGCGCCGTTTGCTGTCTTGCTCATTTTAATTAGCTGAATACATAGAACAGGCTATTCAGCATGTTTTTCTTTTCTTGATAGATATCAACCGTTAGAGCAGATCCTCTGGGGAAAAACAGACCTCGCTTTGTACCGGCACTGAATCGTCAAACAGTGCGGGGGCAAATAGACGAAAGGCAACAGTTACAGCCAGTTCAACAACAACAGCAGAGACCTAATTCTACTCAGACACAAGAAAACAGTCAACGAACAAATGCTAGTCCTATATAACGTGCGGTGCGAAGATTAGTTAGACGCGAGTGAAATAGTTTAAAATCCAGTAAGACACTGTTGTAATTTCAGTTCGAACGAGAATCGGTAAAGAGAGAGCTGCGAGAGAGCCCAATCGATCACTTTCGATTCGTCACGGATCACAGCACACTCTACCAAATCTAAAGGGTGCATTCCAATAGTCCATTGTACAGTCGTGTACTTGGTTGCCAAGCCTTTGGACAGAAGTGAGGCCAAGGTTGACCTTGTTATGATACCAACCTTGCTGCTTTTCAAATGCAAATTACTTTGTTATTATGCTAACTAGATACCGGTCAACAAGGTAACCTTCAGCCTCACTCCAAATCAAAGGCTTGGCACCTAAGTACATTACTGTAAAATGGCCTATTGAGAGTGGTAAAATCAAAACGAGGTTAATCCCAACGGCCAATCAGTGAAAAGTGGAATATCACAAAAAGCTGCTGAACCCTCCAAGATGAGTTAACAAATCTAGACTAGTTTTAGCTTTGCATCTGATTGGTTAAAAATAAGCACGACTTTTCAATCTCAGGGCGTAATAAATTACAACCAAAACAATCCTAAATTACTGTCCGCACCCAATTAAAAATTGTTCCAAATGATGAGCAGTAAAACATAGTCAAAACACAAAAGACAAGTAAACAAATTAAAAAAAAAAAACAATGACAACAACCACAAAAGTGAAATTGAAATTTTTCCAACAAGGAATACCTTAAGTAAGCCTGTAAGTCACGTTCGCAGACAAGCATAAATAATTCAGCCTACAATGTTACTCAAGCACTTGATAGAGATATCATGTATCCAAAGAATAGCACTGGACTTCTAAACTTATACAGCCACGGATAGCACTTTACGCTCCAGGATGTAATTCTTTCAGTTAATTTCATTTATTCACGCATACGAAAGGACATAATGATGAAAATAAATTATGACACTTTTTGTACTACAATGAAAATTTATGTCACGAAAAGTTTCTTGGTTTTAAATACTTCTTAACTATTCCATCAAGATTGTTTTGCGAACCAGTTACTCTCGTTTCAAGGAGTATATGCAAAGTTACAAAAACTACACAGTATAGAAGACGGAGACTTTTATTTGATTTCGCCATTTTGAAAAATTTGGACGACGCAGACGCAGACGCAAGATCTGTGATCAACCTCGAGTTTTGAAGAATGTTTTGTAGTCTATACTCCAAGCTCCTCTCCCGGTGGCTGGGTCAGAACAATTCGATTCATTTATTTTTTTAATCATTACACCTGAATAAAAATGTGGTCTACGTTGAAAGATTTAAAACTGTAAGCCATGTATTCAATACACAAACAGTATCAATAATTTACTTCTTTTTTCCTTTCTTTTTCCCTTTTGAATTGTTTTCTTGTTCGTTTGGATCTTTTCCCTCGGCGACGGCCAGTTTTTTCTTAAGCGCCAGAAGAATAGCCACTTCAGCGTCTACTTTTTCCTTCTCAGCTTTTTCTGTTTTCAGTTTACGAACCTTGTCGCCCTAAAACATACATTCACTTTTGTTAGCGTTATGAAACAGAATCCAAATTGGAGCGTAGTTCTTGTCAGCGTAGGATGCACCTGAATCCGAAATGTCGTATGAGGATTGTAAAGCCAAGTAATAATGAATCAAGCGTTTTTATCTCAGGACCCATAAATTGAATTTTTATTTGGGTATTTCACAATGTTTCGCTTAACCTGAAGACGCGGAAATGCTGTTCAAAGTTTAAAACAATTGTGAACATTGTGTGGTTGACGCCCTTTACTTATCCACAATCATACCAACGCCTGCAAATATGGATTTGCCTTTCACTTCTCCAATAATGTTCATTGTTTGACTTGTAATTTTCTGAGTTACTAACTGAATGATGTTCTTACAAAGACAATCACTTAAAAAAACAAATAATAATAACATTAATGAACTCTTAATTTCTATTTTATTGACTAAAGAGCTTGCTCTAATACCTCAGCTATTCTAGAATTTAAATGAATTATTTTCTCTCATATTTTCATTAGGGGTAGGAATCTAACAGACCAGTAATTTATCTGACGTGGTGACATGGTCGATTGTGTGGTGTTATCGTCCGAATGAGGCATATTTCACGTAGTGTTGTGTTTGTGAAACTCGAGAGACAACCCTCCTTCTTGTCTAGCTCTGTTATTGGTAATAACACGTACTAGTCGCTCATCATAGACGATGGATATCAAAATAAGACACAATTTTCCACTCTGCTGTTTCATGTTGGCTAACACATTGTGCCTCTTACCTGCTTGGTAATCTCTGCTTGCAATGTTGCCACGTCCATGTCAGCGGCATTCCCGTCAGAAGTGTTAGCTGCTTCCTCGCCTGCAGTTTGTTTTTTTTGTTTTTGTTTGTTTCCGCCATACTTTGCGCGAAATTGATCAGCAACGGACGCATCAATCTTTTGGAACAGCGGTTTAGGCTTAATCATAAATTAAACAAAACAAACTTAGTATCATTCAATACACCAAATTAATGTCAAAAATAAGTCAATCTAGGCGGTTTCCATGAAAAATTTGCAAAAGAACCGACGAAACTTTGTTATGAACTTAGCCCGAAGATCAGGATTTTCTCCTTATCTACGTGAACGAGGTTGAGTGTATTTTTCTCCACAACAGATGCTGTGAGTACATGCATCTTTCAGAGACCTCTTCCATTTCCACAGCAACTAAAGTGACCTTTAGTTTCCAATATTTTTTCTATAGAAAACGTTTACTTTTTAAAACATGATTTTGTAGATAAATGAACGTTCCATCGTTTGTCTCCCGATACAGAGTAAGGGCATCAATTAAGTTTATATCGACCTTTCGACTGTGACACTACTGGTCTTCATGGATCACTTTTTCATGCTAATTTGTCCTCTACTTTGCTGTCATTTGCTTAGACCTGAAAAGAGTCCACCACTGTGTTAAAACAACTTAAAAATGTGGCTGAAGATTGCATGTTTGCTTTGTTTGTCATTCAATTCCACACATGATGAAATTTTGTCCATACCTTTCCAATTTTGTGACCAGGCTGTAAATAAGGAATGAAGTTATCCAAGACAACATTTCCATCGTCGGAGACCTACAACACCAAGATTAGCGTCGGTGAGTTTTAATCTTTAATTCTCAAACAAAATATAACTTACAGAAGCCTTGCAGGCCTAAGAATTGACTGCCAACAATAGCTTCCCTTAACACACGCTGACGTAATCATTGGAGAGTTAGGTGTCTATTAGAACAGTATTCCCAATTAAAACTCTCAGTTCTTACCGCCCTAACCTCTTATTTTTTACGATTTGGTGTGCAGCAACAAAGATCTAGATGTCAATCGCCACTGGTGATAAAAGAGTTTCTAAAATATTTTGAAATATCTTTGCACGCTAAACGGACCTACCTGTAGCTGGCGTTGAATCTCTTCACTTACACCTGGCATATAGGGATGGATAAGAACAGAGAGCTGCCAGGAGAGATTTGCCGCGAGGCTAATAACTGTGCCGGCACGTGACCTGGGGATAAATATAAACACAATGACCAACTGCTTCTGAGGAATGCTATTCCAATGAAAATCACAAAATTAAAACCGAAGTTATCATAACTCCCGAAAAGTGCAAATGATATTATCAAAGGTTGAGGTACGCAAACCGCCTGAAGCGCGCAGAAAAGGTAAGTAGCAGAGTCACGGTACGTTTAAAATTTGCATTCGATAAGGTGAGGGTAGCGCGAAGTGTTCCTAAAAGTAACTGAGGAAGTTCCTTTTAGCCTTTTCAGCGGTGGCAAGACCGTTGGAAAGACACGCGCCACCATGTAATTATAGCTCGCTGAAATATCACAAGGTTTCTTGCATTATTAAATAAGACCCGCAAGTTGAGAAGACCCGTAGGATGAGAAGACCCCTTAGATAAGAATACCCATAGGATAGGAAGACCCGTTGGAAGTGAAGATCCGTGGGATAAGAAGACCCGTAGAATGAGAAGATCCGTGGATGAGAAGATCTGTGGGATGAGAGACCCGTAGGACGAGAAGATCCTTTGGATGAGAATACCCGTAGGATGAGAAGACCCGTGGGGTGAGAAGACCCGCTGAATAAGAAGACCCGCGGGATGAGAAGACTTGCAGAATGAGAAGATCCGCTGGACGAGAAGACCCGTAGGATGAGGAGACCCGCGGGACGAGAAGATCCCTTCGATGTGAAGACCCGTTGGATGAGAAGATCCGCGGGATAAGAAGACCCGTTGAATGAGAAGATTCGTGGGATGAGAAGACCCGTAGGATGAGAAGACCCTGAGGATAGGAATACCCGTAGGATGATAAGACCCGTGGGGTGAGAAGACCCGCTGAATAAGAAGACCCGCGGGATGAGAAGACTTGCAGAATGAGAAGATCCGCGGGACGAGAAGACCCGTAGGATGAGGAGACCCGCGGGACGAGAAGATCCGGGGAATAAGAAAACCCGCGGATTGACAAAAACAAATGACATACTAACTATCGGCGTAATTTTGCAATAAGCGCATCTACTAAAAAGAGACGTTTTCCCGTCTTGTCACGAACATGGTACAAAGAAAAATTTCAGAGTCCCTATGAGGAATCGAACATTAGACCTTCGGCTCTTACTTGGTGTAGAAGACACAGTTACGTCACAATAAAATTTTATCACAACTGAGCCACAGAAACTCCTATAAGGCTATTAGTTAAGTAGCTTCACAAGTGAACTCAATTCATTTATTCGAAGTTTGCACGTTTACCTGTCTGATTCGCTACCCTTGACGAGAACCCATGGCTGGTTGGATTGAAAATACTGATTACCAAGTTTAGATATGTTCAGCACGCCTCTTAATCCTTCTCGGAGCCTGCCAAGAAAATTTTTAAGAATTTAGGCTAAGTTTGCGAAACATAAATCAACAATACAATGGACTGAACAGAAATAACATAAAATAAGGTTCGTGGTATCAACTACGCCCCATTCTCCTTCAGAGGCCTGAGGCGCACAAACTTTTGGAAGGGGAGGGGTATGAGGGGTCTGTCACTCTCACCACCACGTCCCTAGTAAGATTTTTATTCGCGCCAGCTTTCCTTGAAGACACCAATCCAATATGTCGACTTCAAAACTTGATCAGAATATTGAATAACCGCTCGCCACAAAATACAGTGGGATACGTATACTATTTTGTATACTTGTTATCGTTTAAGGCCATTCTTTTTGTTGTTGTTTTTTCCCGTTGTAGCCCCCGAATCACCTCATTTTCTCCAGATCATCGATGTACGTCTTCAATTCTTTATTGATAAGAGCTATGAAATTCTTGTCCTCATCAGTCAAATCTATGAGGGGTATGGCACCACCAAAGAAGTTCTGTACAAACATGAGGGCTCTGAAGAAAAAAGTAGGTAATCGTTACTCATGAAGAAATGAGAAAGTTAGTTAGGAAATATGTTGCATTAGACCGCTTTTCGATTGCGCGTTATGAGACTAAAACCAAAGTAATCACGGCGTCCAATCAGAACAAATAAATATATCATAAGGCGCCAATGGGAGCTCAATGTAACCAAAAGCAAAAAGCCTAAAGCGCGGGAAATTGCAGGCGACCAACTTGCAATTGGTTTTTGGCTTTGCTCCTGATTAGCTAAAAAGCATGCACTGAAGTGTGACAAAAATTTCAACTCCCGCCACAGTATTACCGCTAAATCAAATAATAAGGTCAAGAAAATGCAGCAGGTTCTCGCTATCTAAAAAGCTCAAGAGTGTTGTTTAAAAAAACCGTGGCAGTACCATAAGAAATGAAGAGAGAACCGTAAAATAAATATGCATACTGATGTTAGGATGCAACTTAAAACCCAGTGAGTCCTTTTAATTTTAATCGTTGTTGTTAACGGCCTCCATGATAACTTGAGGTTTTGTTCTACGACAGTCAATCGCTAAACGCTCTAAAGCTCAATCCAAATAATAACAACGTACCGATTGATGAAGTTACCAAAGTTGTTGAGTAGTTCACTATTATTCCGTGACACAAAGTCCGTCCAGCTAAAAGCACTATCCTGTTAATGGCAGAAAGAGAACTAAGAGACTGCTATATTAGCAAGCACATTTATTGAGAGTTTCTAAGTACCACAGTTTCCAATATACCGCAGTCATCTTGTAAGGTCATTAAGCTGGTCAGCGGTGAGTTGATCAGGACGGACGTTACTTTACGAGCTCCGCTAATCTTAATCAAGTTTGGATAATTTTTCGTTTCGTTTTGGATAATTTTTCGTTTCTTTTTTCACGATCGTTTTTCTTTTTTTGCTTTCTGAGAGATTCAAGAATGCCCGAGTCTGTTGCTAGCCTTAAGAGAGAGAACAGTAAGCTTAAAGATCAACTGTCTGTCATGGCGGATGAGATTGCTAAGATGAAGGTGATGCTGCTGGAGCAGTCAAAAAAACCTGCAGCGACTAATGACGAAGTAGAGCATAGCTTAGAATTCATGAGTAAAGAATATGATGACTTTGAGCGATTCAGGGTCTCTGCTGGTAAAGAACTTGATCGCTTAGGTGCCATGCTTGATGAGATTGCTGTTGAAGTTAACAGAGTTTCCAGGAGCATCGATGAATTTCAAGAGTACAGTTATCAATATAATGTTAAGATTGTTGGTGTCCCTCAATTGAGTCAAGATGAATCCTCGGCTTCTACGAGTGCGCTATGTGAATGTTTATTTAAGGCAATTGGATCCGCTGTATCAATTCATGACATTGACACAGCCCATCGAGTCCCAACGAGAAGCAATGACAATGGCGGCCCGCGGCCAATCATTTGCCGATTTATTAGACGATTGTCAAAAGATGATGTCATGAATCATAAAAAAAAATGCAAGTAAAGTTGCCCCATCTGCTGTTGGTTTACCTGACGATGCCTCCCTTTCCGCTGTTAGAATTTTTGACCATTTAACGCCAAGGATGCAAAAGGTTTTATTTGAAGCTAAGAGGTTCAAGGAGCAGTTTCACTATCAGTATTGCTGGTCGAAGGGATCGCTTGTTTATCTTCGTAAAGATACCACGTCTCGAGCCATCAAGATTAAGGATATCACGGACCTGCACCGATTAACGAATGGACGTGAAGGCTAAGTATTCATGTTGATGTAGAGTTGTTTGTCTGTTTTTAGATAATAAGTATGAGTGTTAGCAAGAAACGTGTTCGTTGTACAATTAAATCTACCCTAAGCGAACTTCCATACGCGAATGTTGAAATTATTAGAGCTCATGGACAGTTTAATAACATTCTCAACAGTGACTTACCGACCAAGAAGTACTTAGACAAACTTCATAGTATTTATGATTTAGATTTGTTTCGCTTAAATACCGAATCAACATTAAATCCCGACAGAAACTTAAGCATGCAACAAATTAGATGTAAATATTTCTCACCCTATAGTTTTTCTATGTTTAAAGAGTCTTTGTTGAATCAGATAGTCAATGTCCTTTCTCTATGCTTCATACTAACGTAAGAAGTTTGCGGAAAAACATTGATAATTTTCAAGTCCATCTTTTAGATGAACTTGACTACCAATTCAGTGTAATCGGTATTACAGAAACAAAAATTACAAATTCATCTGGGCTAGATTTCAATGCCTGCATACCAAACTATCAGTTTGAATATGTCCCAACACCTCTATCATGTGGAGGTGTTGGAATGTACATTAATAATTGTTTGAAATATAAGGTTCTGGAGAGAACATCTAAAGACGCTTTTCAGGCTTTATGGATCGAAATTGAATCCCTAAAGAGTAAAAATATCGTTTGTGGAGTGATTTATAGGCAGCATAATGATCCGGAACAATTCCTCCATTATGTTGACTTTACTTTAGAAAAACTTAGCTCCTCTGATAAAGTTGTTTATCTTATGGGCGATTTCAATATTGATCTCCTCAAATCTGAAATTTCCGATTACTCCCAAAATTTTTTGTTATCTTTACAATGTTATTCGTTCTTCCCGGTAATTGATAAACCAACTAGAGTCTACAATAATTCTGCCACACTCATTGATAATATATTTCTGAATAGATTTGATCATAAAATTTCAGGTGGAAATATCGTGTCAGACATTAGTGATCACTACTCCCAATTTTGTTTTATCCACAGTCTTATACCAAAAAATTTTACTGCTAAACATAAAATTCGCGATTATTCCAACTTCTCTGAAGAATGCTTTATTAATGATGTCTTGGATACTGATTGGGATAACTCAATGACATATGGATCTGTAGACAAATGCTTTTCTTCCTTTTTTACAATAAATTTAACAAGCTCATTAATAAACACGCTCCTCTCAAAATCTTATCTAGGCGCAAGGCTAAACAATTTTCCAAACCGTGGATAACTAAGGGCCTACGTAAATCTATCAAAATAAAGAATAGACTCTTTTATTCAGGAGATATCTCAAAATATAAGCTGTATAGGAATAGAATTGTTACTCTTTCTCGTCTCAGTAAAAGATTGTATTATGAAGCTTACTTCACTACAAATCTAAGAAATGTTAAAAAAAAACGTGGGAGGGGATTAATGAACTATTGAACAGACAGCGTAACAGAAAAACAGTATCAGCCCTTCAACGCTCTAACAACTCTGGAGTAACACAAAATCCGTCTGAAATAACCAATATCTTTAATCAGTACTTTGCGTCTATTGGACCGCGGCTTGCACGCAATATATCACCTTCCAGGATAAATTTCCAGGACTACCTTGTCGGCACTAATCACTTTAAGTCTTTCTTTTTGATCCCGTCGTTCCATCCGAGGTGGACTTGGAAATCTTGGCTATACCCAGTAATAAAGTATATGGCCTATATTCTTGCCCGGTTCATCTTTTAAAATCTGGGCGCCATATCCTTTCTCCACTCTTAGCTGCCATGATGAATAAGTCTATCTCAACGGGTATTTATCCCCATCTTTTGAAGCATGCCAAAGTAATTCCTATCTACAAATCGGGAGACGAAACTGATCCATGTAATTACCGCCCAATTTCCCTCCTTTCTGTCTTCAATCGATTATTTGAGAAATTGATGGCTAAACGTCTTAAATCACATTGCGAAAAAAACGGTATCTTTTTTTACTTCTCAATATGGATTTAGAGACAAGTGTTCAACCCAACATGCAATTTTAGATATCTTAAGCAAAATTCAAACTAATATTGATGCAAAGTTATTCTCTTGTGGTATTTTTATTGACCTAAAAAGGCTTTTGATACGGTGGATCACTCAATCTTACTGCACAAATTATATCATTATGGAGTCAGAGGAATAATTAATAACTGGTTCTCTTCGTACTTGTTGAACAGGAACCAGTCGACTCAAATTGGTTCAACCGTGTCGAATATAGAAGAGATAGTTTGTGGTGTCCCTCAAGGGTCTGTACTTGGCCCCTTCTTTTTTGATTTATGTTAACGACATTTACCGTTGCTCCCAGATTTTTGAGTTTTACCTATTTGCTGACGATACTAACTTGCTTTATTCAAACAAAGATCTTAAGGATCTTGAAAAAGTTGTTAATGATGAACTCGCAAAAGTGGGTGACTGGTTGGACGCAAACAAACTTTCTCTTAACACTAGTAAATCTAACTTTGTTATTTTCCATCCTTACCAACGCAAATTGGACTACATAGTTCACTTGAAAATTTATAATAACGATCTTAAAAAAGTGTATCTCTAGAACAAAAAACTTTTGTGAAATATCTAGGAATTCTGATAGATAATAACCTCTCTTGGAAGTATCATATTGATTATATCTCATCTAAAGTTAGTAAAGGAATTGGTATAATTGCCAGGTTAAGACATCTTGTCCCATTTGCCACACTTCTTAACATCTACCGCTCCTTAATTGAACCCTATATCTCTTATGGTCTTATTGCCTGGGGACAAGCTGCTAACACTCATTTAAATAAGGTTCTCATTTTACAAAAACGTGCTCTACGACTAATGTATTTTGCGGATAGCAAATCTCATAGTGCCCTGCTATTTGTTAACTCCAGAATCTTACCAATAACTATGCTCTATTCTCATTTGGTTTCCTCTTTGATGCATGACATTGATAATCACCGTGCCCCGTCTAATATTTCTATGCTCTTTATCCACTCCGAGCAGGTTCATCACCATTTCACAAGATTCTCAGCAACGGCTAATCTGTACGTTAAAGCGTCTAGAACTAACCAACTTTTATTTTCTTTTGCTAGAATAGGTGTAAGATTGTGGAATAGCATCCCAAAAGAACTTCGTATTAAAAACAGAACCCCGTTTAAGCGTGAACTTAAAAATCGCCTGTTAAAACTTTTGGAAATTGAGGAGATGAATGTTGATATACGTTGCTCTGAAATTTGTAAATATCTCTTGATAAAGTAACTCTTCGTTTAAGTCTTGTTTCAATTGTATTATATATCTTGATAACTTTGCAATTGATTATTTAATTATTCAACGGACTTAATTTTATTTTATTTTATTTAACAATTGTATTTTTATTAATGATTATCTTTGTTTAATTGTATCGGTATGTGATCCTTAGCAGAGACAGCACTTGTTTTAGAAGGGTGGCCCGCCTAGAATAGCTTGCTAATTGCGGGTCACCTAGGTCTGTGATAATTTTGTATTGCTAACAAATAAAAATTGAATTGAGCAGTATTGCATTGCACATCCTTATTGTGCACACGTAACAAGCGCGCGTACATTAAATATCGACACCTTTTTCTCTATGGTAGGAGCAAACCAGAGAGACATTTTATCTAAAACATTTTCTCTCTCTCTTGGAATTAAGCACTCACTTTCTTTCCATAAAATAAACATAAACCAATTCTAAGTGTAGGAAAAGGAACAATTTTCGGAAACACGAATTTAGCAAGTACTCATAAATATAATCGTCATAATATTCTGGGAATTGCATGGGTATGTACAAAGTACTGTTGTTCCTTAAAGAACGCCGGGACCCCACTTTTTACCTCAAAATTTACGTTACTACAGGATAAAAAAAGTAGGTTGATTTTGACGAAAATCTTAGTGCAGGTATCTCGGAGCAATGACACTAAGATAAAAAGTAAACTACTGACTGGTAAGTGTTCAGTTTTGAGTCTTTTTGATGTTGCACGTGCCTAATAACATGAAGCATCGATGGACTCAAGGGAGTTGAAAGCTGGCAACAAGGTGCTGCACGCTTACCTGGTTCTCAGGTCTCATATATAGCAAGTAGAATCTCCAGATGTCTGCCGGGATACCCGTGTCGGCTGCATCATTACCAAACACCCCTAGTCCACGACTCTTTGAGAATTTGTCGTCTTCGTAATTAAGGTATTCTGAGAATCACAAAGGAAGATCGACATTACTACAAAATAATTCTTGGAAAATGAGAAAAACTAGGCAAAGTGGCGTCGTCAAATGTTTATGAGCGTTGCTGCACAAAATAATGCCCGCACTTCTGGCCAGGGAATAACAAGGTGGTCTCTAACCACGACTGTCATCTTGATATTAATGCCAATTATATCAACGTCCCTTGGAACATGCATCAAAGGTTTGACTCTCTTAATGTCGGTCCTCAGGCTGAGTCGCTTAATGACTAAAACTAGCTTGCACCAAGAGAGAATAAACTTCCGTCAAGTCACAAGAAATTGTAACATGTCAAATTGTGATTTGATTCAGACAGCGTGTGAGGTCAAACTATAAGCTGAACCTGCGCACTCTCTTTTTGGACTGAACGGCTGAATATAGGTAATTTGAATTTTTTTCCAAAAGAGTGCTCACCTGTTGCGCTAATGGAATTCAGTAGGCTGTAGTTGTCGTCTGCACCAATCAGAGTGCACGGGAACACAACAGTGTGGAAAGGGACATTATCCTTTGCCATGAACTGATGAAGAGTGACCTGTCAGGCACACAGACAGAATAATGCGGTTTGAGAACCCTTCGTATCCGCTAATACTACAACTTACCAGGTACTTAGATATTTCAGTGAATTGCTAAAAACGAACCGAACTTCCTAGCCGTGCTGTTTCCAAGAACAGTTATATTGGGAAATAAAGTGACCTTAACAAACTGCGTCATCGTAGGGTTTTTCTTAGAGGAAGGGGAGCAGGGGTGGGGCTGGTTGAACATTCCCACTTAAGAAGGACGTTTCACTTCAAGAAAACATATTACTTGGCTGGCAAAGAAGAGTTTTCTCGCAAGTTGCTTCGAATATTCATTCGTAAAGACTGGCCTAGCATGTGACCCCTACTGTGAACGTATCTCGATGTGTTTCACCAAGCTTAGTTTCATCAGAGCTGTCTTGCAACAACTGGAGTATCAAAACTGTGGAACAAATTGTACGCAAAGTTTCCTAGGAGAGCAGTGTCTTTCGAAATTCACAGCCCGTTGTGTTTCTTCGAATATGAGACGAATGACGACTTATAACTCACTTGTTGAGGGTTTTTCCACCATTTTTCCCATTCTTTTGTGTAATTTGCTGTGATTGAAAGATATCTGAGATACAAGAGAAACAGAAACAAGAGAGTTATAAAACTGCGCAACAAGTCGAAGAAAACCTTTGTTACAAGTGAGAAAAAAAAAATTGAACAGGTTTAAAGATTATAGCGGTATATGACGCTGACATGAGTAACAAACACCTTATTTCTGGGCATTGTACGTAGTTTGTGAGCAAACCTTACGGTCTTTTTTTATATTTTTTCCCAAATGAGAGATGAAAATGTCATGATTTGACTAGGCAGATAAAAAAGTCTGCCATCCGTTTTCAAGTGCAGACGAAGTATCTCGTGTAAATATTTACTTATCATGCCTACTTATTCTTGCGGACCCGAAAATCTCGTTTTTTTTTGTTTGTTTTTTGTTTTTTTTTTGGGGGGGGGGGGAAGAGAAAGAGAAATGCGCAAAATCACAAAAATGAGTCCTCCACAAAAGTGACAATCTGAACTTTTAAAAACAAATATACGAGTACGAAACGAAATATCTTCCTACCCTATTGGTGCATCAAACCACACATAGAAGACTTTATCTGTGTATCCCTCCAAAGGAACCGGGGTGCCCCATTTTAAGTCACGCGTGATGCACCTTGGTCTGAGCCCCTCCTGGATCCATCCTCGGGTAATATGGCGCGCGTTTGACGTCCATGTACCTAGAAAGAGCACAAAAGAGTACAAGACAAGTGTGGAGACGGTTACAAGAGATTTTAAATATTTCTTACTTCTTGAGAAGAACGATGACCCGTATCTATTTCAGTATTATTCGCTCTCATTTGAAAACAGAGACATATCGACTGTTTGGTCTAAACACATCTCCGGCTAAAAAAAATCCCCAAAGACGTCCCTTTCCATTAATATCGGGTAAACATACGGAACTGAAGAAAACTAATACGGCGAAAAGTTCTCGAAAATTCCTGCATAAGTGAATGGGAAGGCGCATGAAGAGAAATCTTACTGAGACATATATCTTATTAGACATTTTGGTGAGTAGTATCGCTGAGTATTTTAATGAGATGTGCCATATTTTGACGAGCCTGCTCATAAAAATACTCAGCGATACTACTCACCAAAACTTCTAATAAGTTATTCATGATCCAACTGCTTTTTTTTCTGCTAAGTCTTTCAGTTCATTTCTCATAAGGTGGGAAAAGCAAAGCGGATAGAGAAGCGTAGCGCGCGCAGCCGAATAGTTAAACAGGTTTTTTTAACAGTACAAAATAAACAATTGTCCAAATACTCTATTCGTGCGTTATTTGCACTCTACTTTGTGCAGTTGGATAACAAAGTGGAATATTTGCTTGTGTTCGGGACTGACAAATCTATCTTACCTTCCGTAGACGATTTGTCCACCCAACTTTTTAAGGATGACTCAAGCTAAAAAATGAAAGGGAAAGGAATTACTGAATGAGATATTTACCAGAAACTTTTGAAGACTCGTACAATCTAAGAGCCCAAAATAAAGACCGACATGTATATGAAAAATAATTCATTCTGTCGATACCTTTGTCAAGTTCAGGAACAAATGCTTGCTACTTCTCACTTTTGGCGTTCCTCCACAAACTTTACACCTAGGTTTCTTAAAAGTAATGTCATTTAGATTGTTACAAGTCCCCCGTTTTATTTTACACCTAATAATACACATGGAAAAATTACTCAGTTCTGATTGGTTAAGTTAATTGCAGTTTTCAGGTAATTCAGTGCAGAAGAGAGTTAATTCAGTGCAGAAGAGGGTTAATTCAGTGCAAAGAAAGTAACAAATCAGATATTCTGATTGGTCAATAATCAAAGAAACTCACAGATAGCCAATCAAATGCGAGCCTTGGATGTCGCAACAAAATTTGAAAATTTGCCAGCGAAACAATGGCCGGCGTTTTAAGTAGGCTTTCTTTCGCAACCGCTCAAACAACGAAACAGCTCAAACAACGAAAACACTACCCGACGACAAAGCTCTTAACTGCACTGCTATTTCCGCAACTGATACCACCTGTCTCCAACTACTGATATGGCTACTTTTTAGCACTCTGCTATAACTTAAAATCTTCATGCTTTCGTACTTAGACGACGGCCACTACTTAAGTGTGTTTGCTAACATTGATAGCTGTTGACTACAAGACAGGCTATAACACAAGGTTACATCCAGGATCTTGCATGACAAGAAAACACAAACTTGAGAGATCTAATTCCAATTTATCACGAAAATGTGATTGGAACCTTCATGGATGTCCCAACCAAAGTCAAAGAGTAAGAATTGTCAAGCATATCTACATTAGGAACCTAAACATCAAATCAAAACAATTAAATTCTTATCTAGCACTAGGGTTTGGTTTGTCTTACCTTAAGTTCGATGGCGTTTATAAGCTTTCCACAAGAATCACACTGATCCCCTCTGGCATCCTGTAAAAACCGACAGAATAATTCTAAGTCGCCCTAACGATCTTGTGAACTGTTTGGCAACAATAAGCATGAAAAACGAGTAATAGTCCTCGAGGGGTTTCAAGGTCAAAAGTACAAAAAGAGAGAAAAACTAGGTGCTTGACATTAGCAGGAACTGCCGGCCAGACGGTCTAATTTAGAAACTAATTTGAATTGTGTGGAGAGATCTCTATAATTTTGAGTTTTGTTCCAGAAAATGCCCCAAGAGTGGTTGATTTAGTTTGGGAATTGATTGACCCACGTGGCTGACAGGTCTAATTAATAACAGAATTCTCTCTAAGAATGGAGCAGTCTGGCCAGTCAGCTTTAAATAACAGTAATCATCTCTAGTACACACAAATGTTTTTAAAATCTTCAGATAAAGCTCACCTCAAAGTTACAGAAAGGACAAGTACCTTCAACGAAACGATCAGCCAGAAATCTGGAATAACAAAATAAGACACGAATTATCACTAACGACAACTTTGGCAAAAAAAAAATGTAGCATTGTAGAAACTTGAAAGTTGAAACAAATTGTCATCAATTGGTATCACCAAAAAGGAGTTAAGAGGTTCTCTAAATCTGTAATTGATAAGAAAAAATAATCGGAAGTTGTTTGCTCTCGCTCTGACGACCTCCACCCGAAGAATTACACAAAAACTTTTTAGCGGTCAAAAAAGTAAGAGCTAGGCAAACCTTTTACAGTCAACACATTGCAGCTGTTCTAGTGTATCCTCCACTAAGTGATCTTGCTTGTGAAGACGCCAGAAAATATCCTGAGCGATTCTGGTGACAACAGAACAAGTTTATTACCATTAGCATGATGGGAGAAACGCAAAACCCTAATAGTTTCAAGTTGGACACCGGTATCAAAGGTTCGGTTTTCAGCCTCAGTCAAGGCGACTGTGATGTGTTTTTACGCAAGACATTCAACCCTTAAGCTCCCGAGATCTAGTTGTTAATTCTCCCCTCTGGTAGCAACAGATTTCCCTGTAAACTAGTTACAAGAGTTTGATGTTCAATCGACAAATGACAACTTCTACCCGATAGGTTTGAATATCCTCATCACTTGTTTTGCTGGAAAATGTTTAGAAATTATGGGGAGAAGTTAAATGTTAATCACTTCTGGGAGTTAAATGGTTAACCTTTCCCTCCGCAAATCATATTCGTAATTTTTCCTTTTAACTTCTTTACATTTCCTTGTCAAGAAGCAAAAGGGTTTGAGGCCAAATCAAGACAACAAGTTTAAACTGATCTGTTTGTCTATTCTCATCACATATTTACTGGATAAAGTGTTCAAATTTCACAAAGAATTTACATTTTTATCAGCGAATTAAAGGATCAAATCGAATGGTGCCTCTCGCTCTACCTTAGATTTTAATGAGTATCAGACATTTTGAAAATGTCAAGGAAACTCGAAGAATTTCGGTGAGGGGGTGACCAGCAATGAGCCAGCATCCCATCTGTAAGAAAGGGGATCGTTTTTAGTCGCTTTATGCAACAGAACTTGGGAAACACTTTAGTAGCTTGAGAGATTATAGAGAGCAAGGAAAAGACTCACAAAGGTTTCGGAATTCTGAGAACGTGAGAGGCAAACAGCTAAAATGTTGCATTAAAAACTTACTCAGTCTGTTGTTGTGTAGTTGTCCTTCCAAAGAAATCAAACTTGATTTTAAACCACTCATAGACTTCTTTGTGAATCTTGAAGTATTTGTCACAGATCTGCTGAGGTGTAAGACCTTCTTCTAACGCCTGGAATTGACAACAAGAAAGTCAAATTGACACTTCACATCAACAACCGCAGTGCTACAGAAGACATTAGAAAGACGTTTAGTAAAAAAAGGTGTGATTTTAGAGGAATCATCAGATGCCTAAATTTTAAAGACTTTCATAAAGCAAAGTTATACAAGGACAAAAGTTTGGTTGCCTTTGATAGAGCACAGCCCTATTGTAGAGATTGTGGTCTTACGACAAGAAATAAGATGGCCAACAAAGGAGGTACAAAATCATTCTTAAGTTTTTCAGGTTTTTTTAAAAATGATTCGGGTGTAAAACCTGTTTGCTGTTGAAAAGTAAACAGTGGCTTGTCCTTTTTAGACACATTTGTTTTCGTAATCAACTACGAATCAATTAAGTCGGAGGTGACTATTAAAAACGTCCGAAAGCGTTTTCAGAATTTAAATTTCTCGCCTTCCTTTTCAGTAATAAGAACTGATTCAGCGTGATTCAAATTCGTTTGACCGTACAAAGAAATCCGAGAATGCGATAGTTTTGCTTGGTTTTCTTTAAGAATGAACAGAACTCGCGTCATCCTCTCAACCACTGAACAGCTGTAAAACAGTTATTACAAAGTGCTATTTGTTTGCTCGTGTTTCTTGCGCTTAAAGCAGTTTTCTCGATTTTCCGTTAATCCAAAATTGGCTTTTCATATTTACCTCCGCTCTGATTTGTTTGGTTTTACGATACTCAATACAAAGGAGCTGTTATCAAAATCTAAACAGCCTATAAGATAATTCGGTTTATAAAATGAGTCGATAGTGTAAATTAACCAACGTAAAGAGTTTCTAAAGCCGACGTTTCCAGCGTTAGTCCTCCCTTAGAGCGACCTTTTACCTTAGTTTCAGTGGCTGTACCATATTCATCTGTTCCACAGATGTACAGCGTGTTGTACTGACGAAGGCGACAATACCTAGGAAGCAATGCAGAGACGACAAAAAACTGTGGTAAAAAGATTTCTTCATCAGTCAAGCTTATCTTTATTGAGGGACTAACATGCTTGCATAAAATATGTAACCCATAAATACGAAAGCCCTCCACATAATATTCCTTTTCACTTCGTCCGTTTTGAAATTACTAATCGGATCCTTTCAATGTGATTCATAGAATTGCTCAGCTGAGTGATTACCATTCCTAACCAGTTCACCGACCTGTGTCAAAATCTTGACTTTGACACTTTCGAGATTCGTCAGGAAATAAAATTGGTCGACAAAATTAGTTTAATGTATAATCATTTATAGTTTTCATCATCTGGAAGAAGTCACGCTTTAAAGGTTTCATACCAATAAAAGGTTATTTCTAACAAAAATTCAGTTCTAATTTCTAGCAAAAAAAAAAAAAAAAAGACGATCACATGCGCGTACACTGTATTTCAAAAGCAATCAGCCACGAAATAAACTTTGAGGATAATAAAGCTTTGTTTAGGGGTAAAATTGGTAGGAAACATTGCAAACTGAGTAAACATAAGACACTGGATTTCAATGATTGTAATTCACATCAAAAGTGAGAGCTGAGAAAGTTCTTAACGACAACCTCCTCCAGAACATGGCTCGCGTTACTAGTTAACGTACCTGGCAAACACGTCAGCACTAAGGACACAGCCAATGATGTTCCCCAAATGAGGCACATTATTCACATAGGGCAAGGCACTCGTGATAAGGATATTCTTTTCTCCTTCAATGGGTAGACTGTGAAAGAAAGTCAGTCGGAAGTCAGTTGGCGAAGGTTGGAAAAAATGTGGACAACGCGATATGAAGTCTCCTTAACATCGCTTTTTAGGATGGGAAGCGTCGCGTGACACTGCTCTTTAGGATGGGGAGCGTCGCGTGACATTGATTTTTAGGATGGGGAGCGTCGCGTGACATTCCATGGTAAGGCTATGAAAGTTATGCTCATTTATTAAAATTGTTCTTACATTGGGTCCACAAGCCGGCGACTTTTCGGCCGATTTTTGCTTCCATGATTCCAGTTTTTGACAGCTTCAGCGATTTCCTCACTTGAAGCAACTCTGGCTTGAACTGCCTGAAACAAATTTAGACGACTGTTTATGTTCCATGATATCATGTTTCGTTAGATCAAACAGAGCAGTGGAAGAGAGGGTGGGGTGGGAAGGATTAGAGTCTCATGCCGCATAGCTCAGTAACAATATATAGAACATTGAGGTTAAAGCAAGACACAAAAAATCTCAGGGGTTTCTTTAACCAATTATGTGGGAATTTATACTTGGGTTTTTTGTTTTCCTTTTGAAAATTCTCCAAAATTGCAAATTGAAAGTCCCGTTAAATTAAATACCAGCAACATACCTCGTCTTGTGGAACACCATTCCCTTTTTCTTGACGAGGTGGCTGTGATCCTAAAAAAACAAAAGCACAAACAGAGATTTCTGTATTAACACCATTCTGGATCTTTCTGTGACTTTTCGGAAGCTGAAGTGAGACTTCAAACACCTGGAGATCTTTTAGATTTCTTTCAGGCGACTTTTACCTTTATAAACAAGGTTTGAGTAAAAAACTATTGATATTGTCTTATCAAACAGAAATTTAGCACGGACTATAAAGCATTCTCAGTAAACTGAGAATTACCTTACACGAGAAGCATAAAGAATATTGAATTAAGTTAATAACTGAAATTGCAATAACTTCAGTTTATCACCCTAACACACATAAAGGCAAAGTAAACTACAAGAAGTCCATTAACCAACTCACGTGAAGGGACAACCCTAATTTTAAGTAGCTGAGTCACGATATTTGAAATCACGTTTTGCAACATTCTACGCTAAGGAGACCAAATATCAAAATGAAATAGTATGCTAAAAAAGAAAAGAAAAAAGATCAAAATGAATGATGCATGATGAACTCTGGGCCAAATGTTTCTACAAGCCCCAAGCGTGATGTGACCTCCACTTGAAAAAAATGGCAGGATTTGAGGTAAGCAGTTTTTTGTTCTGTATTGCTGCTGTAAGTTTTGTTTTATATTTGGTGAACGATTACCCTACACTGTATTGAGGCTGATACCTTTTATACTCTGTTTTGATTTCGTTACTTCCTGCGGTTTTGAACTTGGTGGAACCTGTGTTCCAGACATGGCCAGCAAAGAATCCTACAACAAGAAGAACGATAATCTCTAACTCAAACTAGCAATGGCCCCGTTTGTGAAGGGAAAAGTCTTTTGTAGCCAAATGATCATGACCAACATCAACGTAGCGAATCCATTCCCTCCCCACCTACCTATAGAAGACTTCACCCTTTAAAGCCCATCAGAGACCAAGACAGAATTTCTCCTTACAAGTTATGAGAATAATGAAAATTATCAATTAGAGGATTATTGGTTTATGCAGTACCAAATTCTCCAGATTTTCCAAAATGTCCAAACTAACATCGTAAGAATCGTATGTCAGGCAGTGAGGAGAGATACTAGCGAGATTTTGGGTTACCCACCGTATTTTGTCAGGTTTTCTAACAATCGGATGGTACCCAATACTCTTGGGTAGGGAGGTAAATAAAGTGTACTGCCCAAAAATATATCAAAATGATTGAAGGCCATTTCCTGAAACTGGACCTTTGGTCTTATGTGTGCCACATAGACCATCAGGCTACGCCGTGTCTCACCTGTTTAAGGGGGAGAAGGTAAATTCTGAAACATTTCCATGATGCTCTGAGAATTTTGACCCATGAAAATTATGTTGTTGTTGAAATTTACCCTTATACAAATGTCTAGCTTTTGTCTTTTTGTTACCTTAAAAGTAGATACTCCTTTGCCTCCTGTCACCTGAGAAGAACTTTTATGGAAAACATCCTGAGACATGAGGTGGCCGTACCATCTTTTAACGTTGTTCATCTGAGGATCTGCAGCTTCAAGTAAATAAATAAAACAAGTACTGTTACCTATATTTGATACTTAATGTAAAATTGCAACTAGACTACCAGAATACACAATAAAAATGACTATTACCAGAGAAGCTTGAATCAGAGATAAACAAAAGATGAAGTGAACCCCAAAGAATGACATCTGCTAAACCAAGTTGATCCTGAGAAGTAAATGAACAATTGATACAAAGTCAACTAAGTTGATCCTTTGCAAGCTTTGTTAATCCTCTTATACCATTGCCTCTACTATCATTATTTAATTCTATCTAAACAAAATAGTGTGCAGTTTATTCAATGGTGTGGCTTTGCAGGATTTCCTCAATTTGATAAAAATGCTTCATAAAATTCATGTTCAAGCGTCAAATGGGGCCCAAAAATAGGCCATTTTCAATATATTAAAATTCCAACATGGCTCAGAGGCTAGGGGGGAATAAAATGAAAAAAAATAATCAATTGTTTATCCCTCAACCTTGATGTGATTTCCTTTGTTTTATTCCCACAAGCCTCAGAGCCAAGTTTGAATTTTAACATATCAAAAATGGCCTATTGTGTTACAGGTACCTTTTGAGCCCTGTTCTCCTTTTTCATTTACTATGCAAAAGCATAGATACTAAAAAGATTGTGTCAGCTGCTATGTAAAATACACTTCCTACATTAAACCATATTTTTATTCTCACTGAATAACTTGTAAAAACAAGTTTAAACACCTTTTAGGGTATCCCCTCTCTTGACAAAGGGCTTCCAGAAATTAAAGAAGGGCTATTACCAGGTCATCTTTTGCCAATTTCTACATTGGTATTTTTTTTGTAGCCTTTGCTGGTAAAGTAGCTTTGCATGGTGTAAGAATTTCTTAGGATATCAATACAAAACTTTTTTAATGTGACATTATTTATAAAAGAACCCACCCCAGAGAAAAATTTGTGAGCAGATAAGGCTTGATCAGCATGTGTCAGTAATTTCATCAGATCATCAAAGTGACCGCTTGTTTGCCTACCCAGGCCAATAGATGATACAAGATGTTTGAAGAGGACAGGCTGCAAGAACAATGACAGATTGCCAATGAACAATTTATAGTCAACAAAATGTTAACATTAAAAATCAAAGGGGAAGAATCAAAGTTGCTTATTGAAATTTATCATAATTATCACTTTCATCACTTAGCAAAGCCTAAAGGAAGGCAATGCATGGTTTCTCCCAATCCATATGAATTAAAATATCTTTTTCAAAAGATGTGCACCTTGGTGCCCAATTAAAAAAAAATATCTGAAATTCTTTAAGTTGATCATATGCAGTTCATGTTCATTTTCTCCATCCTTCATTCTCCTGTGCTGATTTGGAAATTTCCTTAACCTTCATACTCTTAACTTTCACTGTTCAGACCCTTAAACTCAAATCTTTTTAAAATTTGTCATTTGGAAACCTAAAATTATAAAATGATCATCAGAAACAAGACTTTTAGTCACCTTAAAACAAAACAGTTATGGTGAACTTATAGATCTACTGTGTAGAATATACCGGTGATAGGAATTTATAATAATTGTCATAAAAGCCAAGGATTCTTTGATTCCAACAAAATAAACTAACCTGCAAGGTTATACTCTCCCACTCCACCCACTGATCAACAACTGCTTCCTTGCTGGGGTCAGGTGTTTCTTCTGAGTTTCTCTTGAGGTCCAACAGATACCTACATATGAAAGGTTACTGTGATACATAAAATAGGTGATTGCATCTTTAGACTGTCCTGGAAAGAGTAGTCTTTGGAGGGTACAGCGGTGTTTCTACAACCTTAGACATCATCAGAATCAGTGTAAATCAGGGAGTTAATGAGCTCTGATAAAAGCTCTAGATTGCAAGAAGTTTGAGTGTCAATCAGGTAGTCAATGAGCTCTGATAAGAACTCCTGATTACAAGTAGTTTCTTGGTTGATTGGGAAGTCAATGAGCTCTGATAAGAGCTCCCAATTGCAAGAAGTTTGTGTGTCAATCAGATAGTCAACGAGTTCTGATATGAGCTCCTGATCACAAGTATTTTCTTGGTTGATTGGGGAGTCAATGAGCTCTGATAAGAGCTCCCAATCGTAAGATGTTTGTGTGTCAATCAGATAGTCAACGAGCTCTGATAAGAGCTCCTGATCACAAGTATTTTCTTGGTTGATTGGGGAGTCAATGAGCTCCCAATCGCAAGAAGTTTGTGCGTCAATCAGGTAGTCAGTGAGCTCTGATAAGAACTCCTGATTAAAAGAACTTTCTTGGTTGATTGGGGAATCAATGAGCTCTGATAAGAGCTCCCAATTGCAGGAAGTTTCTGCATGATTCAGGGGGTCAATGAGCTCAGCTAAAAGCTCCTCATCACAAATAGTTTCTTGGTTGACTAAGGAGTCAATAAGCTCTGATAAGAGCTCCCAATTGCAAAAACGTTTGTCTGTGAATCAGGAAGTCATTGAGCTCTGATAAGAGTCTCCAGTTGCAAAAAGGGTTTGTCTGTGAATCAGTAAGTCAATGAACTCTGATAAGAGCTCCTGATTACAAGTAGTTACTTGCTTGATTGGGGAATCAATGAGCTCTGATAAGAGCTCCCAATCACAAGAAGTCTGTGTGTGAATCAGGGAGTCAATGAGCTCTGATAAGAGCTCCTTATCACAAGCGGTTTCTTGGTCTATTGGGGAATCAATGAGCTTTGATAAGAGTTCCTGATCACAAGTAGTTTCTTGGTCTATTGGGGAATCAATGAGCTCTGATAAGAGCTCCCAATCACAAGAAGTTTGTGCATGAATCAGGGAGACAATGAGCTCTGATAAGAGCTTCCAATTTCAAGAAGTTTGTGTGTCAATAAGGGAGTGAATGAGCTCTGATAAGAGCTCTTGATCACAAGTAGTTCCTTGGTTGATTGGGGAATCAATAAGCTCTAATAAGAGCTCCCAATTGCAAGAAGTTTGTGTGTGAATCAGGGAGACAATGAGCTATGATAAGAGCTCCTGATCACAAGTAGTCTCTTGCTTGATTGGGGAGCCAATGAGCTCGGATAAGAGCTTTGAATTGCAAGAAGTTTCTGCATGATTCAGGGAGTCAGTGAACATTCAACACATAAACAATGTTGCCACTTTGAATTTATCTTTAATTTGATCACAACTTATATTCTACCATTTCCCCAAGGTCTGCCCATATCCTCTATGCAATCAATTAATTAACTAATTAACAAATCATTTTAATAATCAATTAATTTGTCAGTTGATGTATTTAGGTTTTAGAGTGATAGAAAATAAAAACAGAAATTGATGTCATGATAAAATATTGATCATTACACACAAATGCTATATTTTTATGATATTTCCAAACCTGTATACCTGCATATACTGTTTGTACTGTATAGTAAAATTCCATGTTCAGCTTCAAGGACTGGAAGCTATAAGTAAAGTCACAGAATAAGCTTTTGGTTTTCTCTAAAGTTATTGAATATATATATATATATATAGTTCTATATATAACTTTAGACAGTACTGATTCAGCCCTTCGGGCCTCATCAGTGCAATGGTGCTAATTATATATATATATATATATATATATATATATATATATGTATATGTATGTATATATATATATATATCTGAAGGTTGGACAAATCAATTTGATATAACTTTTCTGTGACTGAGTTTCACACTTATGCGATCATCAGACAGATTTTAATGAAGAGTACACCTCATGAAGTTTAAATATATATAGCAGTTAATGAATTAGTATGTCTATTTTAATCTGATGTCGATGTTCACCAGGGAGTATTTGTTCTCATGGTGGCATTTGGAAATTAATGTCTTATTGATTTGTCTAACCTTCAGATATACCATGCTCTACAAACACATTGAGACTATAATCAAGATTTATATATATATATATTTCCTTCTTAAGATATCAAATATTCCTGATTAGTTCATAATAGAGAAAGTGGAACAAGTTTCAAGAGCAATGGGTTCACTCTTGACAAAACTATTTCATGTGAAATAAAATATTTTGAACAAACCTTCCTATTTCCAGGACAATTAAATTTGCTTCCATCTGATAAAGAAAGGTAACATAGTGCTGTTATTATACCCATAACCAATTAAACTATTATCGATTGATTTGTTATACTTCTTTTGCTGCATTAATTATGAGAGTGAGGAATATATTTTATAAAACTGAATACATGTAGGTTTTAAATTTGAACAACAAATACCTGTTGCTTTAGTTGGAGAGAGTACTTAGGGGGACATTAGCTTCTCTTTATTTAAAATCTACAGCTCGTTTATCTTGTTGCCAATCCAGTTTTACAACATTCTATCCAAATCCCAATTTCACACTTTCAATTCCAAAGTCTAACGAACTTCTGATTGCATCAGAAAGGAATTTACTACGAGGAAATATATGAAGGTGATGGAAAGAGAGGCGTAATTCCCAGTCATGGACCATGACATATTTAGATCTGAACTTGTAGTCGTTTCAGAAGACATATCTAGTGCTAAGAAAAAACAGAATTGGGTGAACGTTAGAAAACTACACCAGTTCCGGTTTCGCTTTCCTATTTTTAGAGGAAAAAATTATCTGACCTTCATAATTGATGTATTGAACAGTAAGGGGAACGCCTGCTAGATTTTTTGCTGCCAAAATGCTGAGCAGAAATGGATTTCCTCGGTCGGTGTAAAGCTTCATAATTTCACTAATTTGAGATGATAGGAAACTACGACAATGTAAACGTCGTGTAAGTACCACAGATCGAAGGAGAGCGACAGAATTTAACCCAGAGAAGATTCTAACCATCTGACGAAACTGGTTTCACGTGTGAATAAACCAGGTTAAATCTTCGAGAAAGACTGGAATGAGAACCTTTGGCCGCAGTACACATACATTGCGGGTTCGAATAAGTTCCGCCATTTTAAACAGGAACCAAAGTGGTGAACGTGAGTTAATTTCAAGGCAGAATCTAAACACCTTTCTGACTAATTCACTACGTTTTAAGGATTTAATCACTTGATCAACTTAACGGAAGACATGTCAAATTTACAAAAGCTAGCATTCGCTATTATTGAGCACCTTTCGTCGGAGTTGAAGTCTGGTGCCATAACAGGCGACTCAGCGGAGAGTTTAGAAGGTTAGACCTAAAATGTAACAGCTTACAGAGATTCAAGAAAAAAATTTCCTTTTTCTTCTATGATTTTTTAAATATGATTATTTTTTACACTTTTTGAACCATGTAAGTGAAATGATATCCGAAAGATAATTATAAGTTTGCATGTGATTTAAAATTTAATTTCACTTTCTCACAATCAATTCCAGTTTCTGTTAATTTCGGCGTAAACATGATCAAATGTATTTTATTGCTTCCTGCTAATAGCACTGCCTTTCTGGCTAATTTTCATATCGAACGTTTCCTTTTTGATATCTTTTCTCGTCTCAATATTTACATCTACCATCATGCCTCCTTCCAGGCAGGTGATGAGAAGGGGGGAGGGGTGGGATGTGGTGGGTGACTTAACTGGAGGATGCTGGAGAATGGATGAGTGTATAGATGCACAGCATTTGAAAACATTCTCTGATTTCAGAATTCACATTTTGACATCTTTTGTATTCTATTACGGTAAGCTGTAGAGACCCTCGGCAAGATGGAATCTGTTTGTTGAATGTAATAAAGAAACAGAAAATTGTCTATGGGGATATCATCTATGCACTTGTCCTCCAATAGATCATAATTAACCCTTCAACCCTTAAGAGTGACTAGCATCTAATTTCTCCTTGCTATATCAACCCAAAATCACACCTTAAGGTCATTAGAATGAAGGAAATGGTCCCCAACTAGAGATGCTCTGGATTATGAAACAAATTCTCCTTGTCAGCACCTTAGGGATTGTCTAGGGAACAGTATGGAGAATATACATGTGGATGTGAGGGTGGAAAGGGTTAAGAACCAATCAAAATGCAAGTGTGGTGTAGCTTTTCTTGTAAATTTTATCACAGTTTGTGTGTTTGAATGTTTTTTTTCTTGTAGTTTCAATCCAGTGTTTAGAAGCAGTCTATGGTATAAACAGAAATGATCCATCACAAACAGCAGCATTGAAGAGTGACAAACCTCTAGCGGAAATATTCAAAAATGCGACTCAGGTCTGTACTCAATTGCTTCAGTGGATCTCCTGATAAATAATCAAAAACAATTCGTATTTTAATGGACCTACATGGTTTGGTTTCCTTATGCCTCAGCACTAGTGAAGAAAAAAAGCTATCTAAAGAATATCCTATATGTCTTTATATTATGCAGAAACCTAGGAATGAGCCTAATAATATTTATTCTGATGGCTATGTAAGATTTGTTTTCAGTATTTTACTACTGTCATTTTACCAAATAAGGTCATGAGGATATGCAAAATATGCTACAGTATTACATTGTAAACAGGGAAAAAAAACCTTTATGTCTAGAAATGCATGCAGTAATGAAAATGGCAGATTTGACAGCATTTTGTCAAACCAAATGAATATTCATGGATTTGATGATTTTGGCAAATTTTAGTCAAATTTTTCAAAGCAAAATCAGCTTGATTATGTAGTTTAGTTATATTCAAATTGGTAAAAGCAAAATCAGCTGGGCAGATTTGACAATTTGGCAAATTTTCACCATTTTCATTACTGCAATCATTTCTGGACGCATCTCAGTTAAAAAAAAGCATTTAATTTCAGACCAAGGGTGGAACAACAGCTGCTCAGCCTACAAGAGAAGACAGAGAAAAAGCAGAACAACTGAAAACAGAAGGTATAATCTGTAGGAGTTCTATTTTTTTTTACTCCTATTTAAAACTTTTCTTTTTCCATTCCATTCTCAATTTCCATTTATACCATTCTCTTCCCAAATTTTGCAAGCTCGCAGGAATTCAAAGAGTGGCCAAATAAGTTGTTAAATGACTTTTTAAGTAAATGGCTCTTTCAACCAATAAATCTTATAAATAAAACAAAACCTGTAACACTCTCACCTGTCAAAATAATGATATAATTTGTTAAAATCTTAATACCAGGAAATCAGTTGATGAAAGAAGAAAAGTACCAAGAAGCTATCCGCTGTTACACCAAAGCTATTGAATTGGATAGTTCTAATGCTGTGTTTCCATGTAACAGGTATACATTCCAATTACTATGATGCAGTTAAGTGCAATTTAATGGAGTTAACAACAAGTTGATGGGTAATCCTTGAAGGCGAGGGTGAATTTCATGTAAAGTCAAGCTTTTAAAATGATCTCGTACACTCAATTCCATGCTTAGGCAATTGCAAAAGACCCTTACAACAATTTCTAGTTTAGGTTACATTCAACTACATATATTTTCTCTGCTTCAGACAGATAAGTCTCATCGTAAAATAACAATAGATACCAATCAATTTAGTTTGAAATCATTCAAACCTAAAATTTTTATATCAGAAACATTTTCCAGTTCAAAGTTAATTATGGCAACTTTTTTCCTTACAGAGCTGCAGCTTATGGCAAGATCGGTGAACACCAAAAAGCAATAGAAGACTGTCAGAAAGCTCTAAGTTTGGACCCAAACTATGGAAAGGCATATGGACGAATGGGGTAAGTTAACCTTTTACCTCCAATGAGTGACCAAGACAGGGATTCTCCCTACAATATCAATACAATATCAACCAAAAAAGTGATGAGAATAAAGAAAAACATAGAGAAGGGGATTATTAGTTGTTCTAATACCAAATTCTCCAAAAATAAGAATTACCTAGAAGACTGTAAGGAAAATTACTAAATTAGATCTTTGGCGTAAAAGGGTTGAATTGGATCAAGGCAAAAATGTTAGGCATTATTTTCGTCATGCAGGAAAAAACTGTGTATCAATTACACAAAATGTTTGTTGGATCTAAGATATTTAATATTAAATTTATGAAAGAGATAGAGAATGATTGCAATTATACAAAATATCTGAGACTATTCCACAGCTTGGTGATTTTGTTTGTACCCATGCTTGTTATCAGAGAAACTGGGAAACCTATAATCTCTGGTTTGGATTGGTCACCATTACTGCAAAGATTACCAAATTATTGATTTTGGTTAGCTTGGAACTTCTATTTGAAGTTGCTTGACTCATGATTCTTATTATGTAAAATATTTCAGGTTATCATACCACAATCAGAACAATTTCCAAAAAGCAAAGGAAAGTTATTCTAAGGTAAAATATGAAATATTTGTCTCCATCATAATCATTTGGCTTTTAACTTTTTAACTCCTGTGAGTGACCAAGACAGAATTTCTCCTTACTATATCTATACAATATCATGCAAACAAGTGATAAGAATATAGAAAAAATATCAATAATGGGATTACTAACTGATCCGCTACCAAATTCTCCAAACTAACATTATAAGAATCATTTGGCAGACAGTAAGGAGAATTACTAATGAGCTCTTGGAAGTTAAAGGGTTGAGAACACTTACATTTAGTTTGTAAAACATATAATTCTTTACTATACTATGATTTAAAACTTTTAAACCATTTCTTTATATTTTCATGTACATGCATAAACAAAACTGATGGGACCATTGTTTTAAATTTTTTTAATTTTGTTGTGAAGTTTGATTATAAATCTTCAAAGTTGATAACATTTCAATTCCTAATCAGTTGTGGATAAGTTTAAATTGTATTTTCTGCAAAGTTAGTTGAGTAATACAAAAGCTTTTTGTTACAGGCATTAGAGTTAGAACCTGGCAGTACATTTTACCAAACCA